TGGACACAACATCTTTGTTGGTACGTGGTGCTGAGGATCGAACTTGGGCTGCATGCATGCCAGACAAGCGCGCTACCGCCTGAGCCACATTCCCAGCCCCTCCAACCAAGCTTTATTTCTAGTTGGTCACATATAGTGACGTCTTTCATGAATCATGTTTTTAGATGACATTATGTTGTTGGCACTCGGTGAATTAAGAAGTGAATTAAGGGCTGCACATGAGTAAGACCAAGAGGAAGCCGCCGGCTGGTGAGTGCCCTCATGCAGGTCCTTTTAAGACTCTTGCTGCATGTGGTCCTTGAAGTGGGGATCACTGTCATTTCTTGTTTTGAAGAGAAGGGGATTTTTAATGACCTCACGTCATCAAGCCCGCATGTGGAAGACGTGAGATGGGCTCTGCCCCCAGTGCCATGCCTGCCTGGTGTGCAGGGGCTCTCCCTCTGTTCCCGGGGTGGTGGGGCCGGTGCTCTGGAGAGCCTACCGAGGCATCTGCCATGGCTGCCCTCTGCTGAGCCCATGGAGCCGGCCCCACAGAGCTTCAGAGGGGAGCCCGTGGACAGCACCCAGCTTCTCTGATCTCAGCTCTTCTGCAGGGAAATGGAGAAAGGAGGTCGTTTTAGCTAAAGAGGTGAAGTCTGCACTGGATGAAGGAGAGAAAGCTGCAGGTAGCAGACTCAGGTCAGGGGATTGGTCTGCAGGGACTGGCCTGCTGGGCCATGGCACTTCTGTATCAGTAGGGTCCAGCGTCCTCCAGGGCCTAAGCTTCAGCTGGGTGGGCCGGTAGGACTTCCTGTGGCCACGCCAGCCTGGTCCTGGTGCCACTTCTGCTGCAGATGCTTCTGAGCTTTGGAGGAAAGATGGCAGTGACAGGTACCCATGCATACTGGTGGGCTGTGCTGGAGGGACACCCATGTCCAGCAATCTGACTGCCGTCTCTGCTTTGTGGTTGAATTGCGGGGTCGCTTATCTTTGTATTTTTCTTGTCCGTATTTAATTCTTTCTGCAATGCACACAAGTGAAGTATGTTTATGTTAACTCTGAGCAGGTTGAGCCCAGTGGTTGGCTTTGCCTAGGTCAGTATCCATTGGAGGTCTGCTCTGGGTGGCCCTGGGCTCAGTCCTTGCCCTTGAGGAATGTGCAGCCCCACGTGGAGGGACGGTGTGACTACAGGGCCAGCAGGCTGTGTTAAGGGCTGGGTGGGGCGTGACCCTCCTGCGGTATCCCCGAAAGGCAGCACTGGACCCTGGCATAGTGAGAGGTCCTCAAGCAGGGGCTGTTTCATCCTCAGGACACATCTTGTTCATTGCCACTAACATGGGTGAAGGAAAGGCCATGTCCTCTAGTGGGTAGAGCCTGGAACAGCTGTAAGTGTCCCACCAGGCACAAGGCAGAGCGCTGCCTGGCCTGGATGTCAGAGGGCCACTCCTCTGACCCATGCTCTGGAAGCACACACAAGACTTTGGCAGACAGAGGTAGAGAAAGAGCACTCGAGGCCTGGAAGACAGTGGCCAAGCCCAGTGGCAGACACACGTGCGGACCTGGGGGTTGGTGGAGGGCATATGAGGCTGGCGGAGCAGCTGCAGCTGGGGGGTGGAGGCCTTTGGTGCCACGATGAGCAGTTTGGACCTTCTGCTTTGGGCGCTGGGCCCCTGGCAGTTCTCAAGCAACGGGATTTCTTCATCAAGAGTGGTGTCCCTGGCTTTGCTGTGGCTTGCTCCTCTGCACAGTCTGGAAGCTCCCAAGCCAGGCTTCCAGTTTGCCTTCCTGTCTATCCATCCAGAGGACAGCTCCGTCAGCAGGTGACAAGGGTGCAGGACACCTGATCCCTCTGAGCACTGTGCTTCCTGCTGGATTCCCAGGAGCACACCCCAGGGCGGGTGGCTGTCCAGAGCTCCTCTGGTGACCTCGGCACCGAACTTGGTTGTGCCAGTGTTGGCAGTGTCTTCTCGCCACCTCAGGGTGCAGGGTGGAACATGGGGGGCCGGTTCATGTCCAACGACGTCCCTGCAGAGGAAGCCAGTGCAGAGGCCAAGGCTGGACCTGAGTCCAGTGGAAGAGTTGGGAGTTGGATGCCTGTGTTGGGGAGGCCCTGCCCTGCACTGGGTGCACCCGCGGTAGCACCTCACCAGCTTCCACTGTAGCCTACCCAGTGTCCCTATCGGCCACACCTGGGACCACAGTGTTTTAGAGTGAGGGTTTCTTCAGATTTTGGAATGTTTGCATATATTTAATGAGCTATCTTGGGGACAGGACTCAAGTCTAAACACAAAGCCCATTTATGTTTTACAGACACCTTATATACATAGCCCAAGGCAATTTTTTTGGGGGGGGTACCAGGAATTGAACACGGGGGCGCTTAACCACTGAAACACAACCTTGGCACTTTTTATGTTTTACTTAGAGACAGGGTCTCACTAAGTTGCCATCCTTCTGCCTCAGCCTCTGGAGCCACTGGAGCCACTGGAGTCACGGGTGTGGCCACTGATCCGAAGGCAGTGTATACGTTGTCAGACCGTCTGCATTTTGACAGCACCCGTCATGTGAGGTCAGATGAGGTGTCATGCACCTGTGGTGTCATGCACCTGTGGTGTCATGCACCTGTGGCGTCATGGTGGTGCTCAAGGAGTCCTGGATCTTGGGGAGTTTCAGATTTTCAGATTGGGGGTACTCGGCCAGTGGTTTTCAGATGTTTTCTGAATGAAAGAAGAAGGGGGTCAAGGTGCGGGGAGAGTGTGATGGCCTGGGATCACCCAGCCCTTGGGGTCAGGGCTGAGCCTAGAACCAGGGTCCCTGACCCCTGTTGCACTCC